ATGTGGCTCTGCAGTATTTCCTGGGCCTGGGCAAACAAGTGTGGCATAGGGACGGGCACTGGGTCCCTGCTGGGCAGGGATGGGCCATCCATCCCACTGGCCTCTAGCGGGGTAGCTTGGGAGACACTCCCGAGGGGTAGCACTGCACTGTTCTGGGCTAGAGGCCGAATGTCAGTGGACAGGAACAGCTGGAGGGACTGTTGGATCTTCTGGGGTAGCCCCCAGCGGCTGTGAATCAACTGCCTCTGGAGGTGGAAATGCAGCAGCCTGCGGCCTTGCTCCGGCAACAGAAGGTCCCTGGTGAGGCCTGAGATGGGCTTCCCAGGCCAGGAAGCTGTCAGTATCTCAGGAAGACCGGGCTTTGTCACAGAACTTAAATGGAGCGGGACTCAGGGCATGCTGAGAGCCCTGGCAAACAGCTGGCAAGCCCCACTGAAGCTGCAGTTGCCTCTATAGCACGTGCCACTCCAGGGCCTCACACTCAGCCAGAGTCAGAAATGGGATATTGGCCTGAGCTTGGTGCTGGTCAGTGGGAGTCAACTGGTTTGGGGGAGATGGGGAGCAGGGTGGGGCTGACTGGGGTGGAGTTTTAGGGGGGCAGGGAAGGAAGGAGAGCTCCCTGAAGAGGAAAGGATCCTTCAAGGGAAGCTTGGACATGCCGTCTTTTAGCGAGAGGGCAGGAGAGCCCAGGAAGTTGGCAACCAGGGACTCGCTGTGCAAGGAAGGGAGTCCACAGAAGAGCTGTCTGTATTTACGCTGCCAGTGGCCAACAGTTTCAGTGGCATGTTGCCCAGGCAGTATGCAAGGGCCACTTAGGTCCTTAAGGGCTGCAGAGGGCAAGGCCAGAGCCATATAGCATGGGCCCTGCTGGTAGTGGTGTCCTTGGTCTGCGGTCATGATGGCCCATTCAGAGATCCAGAAGGCCTGGGTGGGCTGGCCAGCCATACAGGAGCCCCAGGTCTGGTAAGAAACAGCTCCCAGATTTTCAAGAGAGAAGGTAGGACCATTGTTGTGGAAGGGAGAAACGGCTTGGTTATTTGCAGGCCGGTGAAACAACGGTGGGTTGGGCATGTGCTGCCTCATGGACTCCTCTACACGACAGGGACCATGTGCAAGGGGACAGGGTCTGTCAGAGTGGCGGAGGTGGTCTCTTGGTTGACGGTCAGCACTGAGAGCGGGGCCTTCATGGGCTGCTGCCCTTGGTTCTCATAGATGAAGTTGGAGTTGGTCTGTATTGTCACCAGCTGGCTCACTGGAACCCGAGGCTCTTCCAGCATGAAGGAGCACATGCTCTCTGGACCTCTGAGCACCCGTAGCCCTTGAATTTGTTGTGTCAGAGGGAGGTGTTCAGTCCAGTAATCCTGGATGCTGACTGTGGTGTGTGATTGGACCACTGACTGGGTGAAGGATTTCTGGTCTCTGAATTGTGACACCATAGGGGTTGACAGTGGGAGAGAGAAGTGTGTGGAGAAGAAGGCTTGGTGTTCTGGATTCTGCTGGATCAAACCACTAGGCATGGCCATGCTGTGTATGCAAGGGGAGCCCTGAGGTGGCCCCGCTGAAGACGAGGAGGTCAGGCTGGTCCCTCCCATCAGCAGATGCTTGATGTTCCTAGCCACAGCATTGCAGGTGTTGCAGCTGGGGTCGGCACACTGGAGCGGTTGCAGTCTGCCTCCTTGGATGCCTGTGGTCTACAGATGGGTCCTGCCCTGCCCCTGTCCTGGGCTCTACACTCCCAGTCTGTCTGTGCCACTGCCTTTCACATCAGGCAGCATAGGGTTGGCTGGTGAGGGCCCGGGGCTGTGGGCATTGCCCAGAGAGAAAGATTGGGAGCCTAGGGCCTGAGGGGAGGGGCTGAGGGTGAGTGCTCTGTGACCTCGCTCATAAGTTGAACCAGCAGAAGGGAACCAGGCAGATGGGTGCCAGTGGTTAGCTAGTTTGGTATCTCCAGGAACACCACCAGGTGTACCCAGAGGCAGCCTCATTTGGGGCAGAGAGGCCACAGCTGCTGTTCAGTACCCAGCATGAGAGAGATGAGTTCCTGGTGGGATCTCTACATCCTGGGGCTACAGTGTGTCCACAACCATCAGTGCTTGGGGGCCAACCCCATCTCTGAAGATCTTTAAGCAGAGGTTAAAATGACAGGCTCCTGTCTGAGTGCTGCCCCAGGAAGTGAGTTCACTGGAGACAGAATCAGAGGAGGGATGTCAGCTGGATCCAGCCAGACCCCAGGAGACTTCCCTGAAAGGTGTCACTGTCAAGTGACTATGGTGATAGGCCGGGTCTGTATGGGCTTACTTTTCTACTCTGTGGTCCCGATGATATTTCCTGTGGCTGAGTGCAAACCCATGTAGAGTCTTTATTACTTACATACTAGTCAGGTCCTCGATTCTAGGCCTATTTGTTCCTGACCAGAGCAGAAGTGGACAGTCCCCCTCCTGAGATGTGTGATACCCTTGCTCTGGCTGCCTTCACAACCACTGTCCAGCCTCTGTTGTCTCACATCCTCCCAGCTACTCTCCCTCCTCATCTAGATTGAGCTGAGAAATCACCACAGGTCACAGTGGGAGCTGGAAGTGTGCAAAGAGCCAGAGATCACCTTTTCATGAGAGAGAGCAGCTCCCTGGGCTCCTTGGCTTCTTTCCTGGAACATCCCCTAGCTGAGAAACCAGGAGACAGGGTTACATGGAGCAGGAGAGGACCCGGGATGCCCTAGAGGCCTCTGAAGGATCGGGGCTGAAATCCCAAAAGTCAGTGCGTGAGGCACATCTGTGCACAGAGTAAGTGCCTTCAATGTGCTTCCCTCCCCAATCTCATTTGGTCCCATGGTCACAGTGACTGGCCCATTGCATGGAAACAAGTCCGAGGATGGAGTGACTTTCACGGGGTCATGAGCTAGTGACACAGTGAAGGGCTCTTGCTTGAGCCCCACACCTCATTCTTGGGGCAGACTTTGGAACATTCCCTAGTTCTTACTTCCCACATAGGAGGATGTTTTGTGAGAAATTGGGGAATCGAATCCTTAGGTTTTTGGAGCATCTGGTTCCTGGCAGCAGGGGCCATAGAGAGACAGAGACTGGGATGTGGCTTGAGAGAGAGGTTTTTGGTGAGAGCCTGGCACTTTACCTTTTGATGCTGCTGCATCTTTTGCCCTTTGCTTGATTTTTTGGTGTCTCTCTTTTTTTTTTTAAAGATTTATTTATTTATTCATACAGAACTGGGGTAAAGGCCAGAGATGCGGAGGGTGAAAAGATTCACCAGGAACAGAGTGGGGAGCAGAACAGGCAGTCAATGAAGTACTCTGCTGAGGGGAGCAGCGGGCGGGTCAGGAGAGGTCTGCCGTGCCATGTGGATCTCCTCCGGGGCAGGCGGGAATCGAACTCATGCGGGAAGTGTCTTAAGCTTGCTGGTGCTGTGCTTTAACACGCTGCGCCACCAGGGAGGGCCCGATTTTTTGGTGTCTCTTAAAGACAAAAATTTGGTGTGAATCTGGGATACCATTTTGTTTTTCGCTTCCAAGATGAGACAGAGACATTAGCATTTCCTAATTCCTTCTCTTTTTCTCTCTGTATTTTATTTACTTTCCTTTTGATACTCAAACTTTTTAACCCCAGCTTTGCCTCTATCTGCTATATCACGAGTCAGTTGTGTTTCTCCAAAGTCTGTACCTGACACAAAAGCACTGTTTATGAGCCTTATGGTAAAACAGGAGAGAGCTAGAAAGATGAAAGGTGTGTGGCACTCCAGCCAATGGACTTTGCCTACATGTGCCTTAGTGGAGTAGTGAGCAGAGCAGGTCTCCATACTGGGACGTGTCTATACCTGTCAGGCAGATTCCATTTTAAGGAGCTCTCCATCTAAGCCAGATAGAGCATTTCTGGTTTTGGTATAGAATACACATAGGTATTGTACGACATGGTAAAGAGCAACACTGAGCTTATCTGAGGATTAGTTAGTTTGATCCCCATCAGAGTGTTTCCCTACCTGGCAGCAGCTCTTTTTAGGTGCCAGCCTTGAGCCATGGTAACTCCTTTTCACTTGCCAGATAATGAGGAGCATAAGTAGGATGGAGCCATAGGTATACAAATGGTATCCAACATCCCATGGAAGAAAAGTTGGACTCAACATGGTCTAAGCCTCATGAGCACGAGGAGCCCAGCCATCCCTATGTCTAGGCATGCGGGGTCCTGGTGCCTACTGACTCCCAGTGCTCCCCTTGTCATCTCTGCCTCCCAGACGACGGAACCAGGCTCCCAGTGTGAGTCACAAAGCCCTTCTGTTCCTCAGGACGGGTGTAGTGTCCAAGACCTTTTTGTGCTTGGGAAGCTCATGCGGTGGTCAGCCTGTCGCTGAGGAGGCCCGGTTGTAAGACTCACGGACCCCTGGACTAGGCTGCCCACTGACAGGTGGTGCCTGTGTTCCCATCTGTTTTGTCTTTCCTGACCACAGCTGCACCAGCCTGATGGGTCAGCTCTCTGCTTTGTGATGGCTGTCTGGTCACCATATCTGGGCCTGAGTGTTTTGGGACACCTTTATGGAGGAGTGGCTGCAAGAGAATTCTCGTGCAGCTCCTCTGCCTGTATGCAAGTGTATCAGGGAAGCACCTGTGTGGAGGGAGGGCTTGTGTGTGGTTATTACTTGGAAACGGAGAACTTTGATATCACAGCGGGTAGTGGTCACTCACCACAGGTACACAAAGGGACCATGTCTGTTGTGGCAGGGAAAGGCCAAGGTGGCAATGTTTTAAATTTAAACATTCAGCGAAGGGAAGCCTCCAACCTTTGATGGGAAGTAACTAACCTTCCATGAAGGTACATTTCAATGGTAACTACTGGAGTGCTGTCCAGATTTTATTTTCCAGACTGCCTCTACATAGGTGACAGTTTCTCTCAGTGATGATTTTCTGAGAAGATGAGTTGCCTCTTCCTCAAAGTAATTGCTGCTTGCAGATGTCCTTACCTGCTCTGCATCCATAATGTTTACCTTGGAGGGTTTTTGTTGTTGTTCAGCCGGATCTTATTACTTTTAGGCAGGACAGGTGTTTCCAACCATCCCAAAGTCTGATCTTTCTACAATTTGACTATTGATGTGGACATTACATCCTTGGCCACTGTGGATACTGTGGATATTATGATTTCAGGATTCCAGGTTTTTTGAGTTTTCCTGAGGGAGTCTTGCTCTGTCAAAGTTGTTCAAGTCATGGCATTCTTGCTGGAGAATCTTTGAAGAGCCTCTTTGGTCCTCTGTGGCACCCGGTCTTCAACCCAGCTGGCCTGGGGAGTCTTCGTTCATGCCCTTCCCTACGGTGGGTAGTGTCAAGGGTCTGAAGACATTGAGTTATGTTGCCTTCCTACTCTTAAGACATGTAAATGTTTTGTGAAATGAGACTATCACACATGAAACAAGAGCCACCAATGTAGAGCAAGTCAGATATATTCTCAGTGTGGGTCCCAGGCAATGAACATCCCATTTCAGAGGAAAGAGGGCATCATGAAAATCAGAGCAGTCAGGGAGGGCTCCTGGGTAGAAAACATTTTAATTTTATACTTTATTTTTGAATATTTATCTTTTATATTGCAATATTATTAAATTCACTAGTAATTTATAGTTGATTCAAGTTAATGATCTTCTTAGAGGTCAATTGGATCTATTTTCATAAAAAGACATTTTATTTTTCTTATTTTGTTAAACTGACTAGAACAGTATAATGGGAGAATGAGCAGAAATCTTTGCTTTGTTTTTGACCGTAGGGGGAAAGCATTCTTTGTTTTTTCTTTTTTTCTTCTCATACTTGATAATTTCAAATATCCTATCTTTAAGTTTGCCAAAATATTCTTCCACAAATTTGATGTTGAACCACTAGTGAATCTTCCCATTCATTTATTGTCAGCTCTCAAATTTTCATTAGGTTTCTCTTCATATTTTGTTGTTGTAGTCTCATTTTGTTTTTACACCATTTTTTTAGTTTTTTGAACATATTTGAAATATTTGTTTTTTAAAATTAATTATAATTTATGCATCCAAGAACTGGGGTACAGGCCAGAGGTTTGTGGGTTGAGAGGATCCACTAGAGACAGAGAGGGGAGCTAGACTGACTGAAATACATTGCTAAGGAGACCAGAAGGCAGGTCAGGAGAGGTCTGCCATGCCATGTGAGTTACCTCCTTAGCTGGAAATTGAACTCATGCTCCAGTGTCTGTAGTTCGCTTTATACTGCTATGCTTTACCCTGTTGCACCACCAGGAAGGGCCCTGAAATACTTCTGTCAGTATCAATGTCTGTGCTTCTTCAGGGACAACTGCTGTTAGTTTTCTTTCTGTAAATGAACCATATTCATTTATTATTATATATTTTTTAAATTTATTTATACAGAACCAGGGTATAGGCCAGAGGTGCAAGGACAGTGAGAGGCTTCACCAGAGACAGAGTGGGGAGCAGAGCAGGCAGATTGATGAAGTACACTGCTGAGGGGGAGTAGTGAACGAAACAGGAGAGGTCTGCTACACCATGTGGGTCAGCTCTGGGGCGGAGATCAAACTCATACTGAAGTAGCTGTGGCTAGCTTGCAGTGCTGAGCTTTAACCCACTGCGCCACTAGGCAGGACCCCTCTCCTATTAGTTTTATCACTTACAATTTATAAATAAGATTGGGAATTTAAAAAAAAAACCACCTCCTTTTTCTCTGCAAACTGCTCTATGCCAGAGCAATCTTTCCCATATTAATGGGGCATCTTTGAACCTAGTATTAGCTTGAGGTAAAATTTTAGGGTCTTTTGATGTCTTTCTGTACATCTGTCATGAGTGGGCTTATCTAATACATTTTCACTTTTTCACTTTTGTATGTTACTGTTTTTGAATGTCTCTGCCTCTCAAGCAGTCATACCCCAGTTTTCCTTCAGATCTCTGCTGATCGATCTTAAGTCTCCATGTCTTTTCCTGGAGGTCTGTGATTCTTCTTTAGACTTTCTTTAGAGTTCACCGCTTCTCTCTGCCTGTGATCTGAACTACGAAGGTAGAAATAGGCAGCCCCAAGATAAACAGACCATTCAGATATGGTGTCCAGCCCTCTCTTCTCAAATATTCAGTCCTGCAGTTACTAACTGCCTTGGCTTTTTCTGCCTCCCAGCCCCATCTCCTGAAGTCATAGACTGCTGAGTTCTACCCTCCTACCTACACCATGATTTTGTCCAGATGATACGATGACACCAGTGTAGGAGCACCTTACTAGACTTACTTTTCTTAGTGATTGCTGTCATCTGTTACTTGATGTCAAATGTGTTACATGGTAAAATAATAATAATGAGTCTTTTGACCCATGAACAAGATATTGTTCTCCGTGTGTTAAGGTCTCCTTTAATTTGATCAGTGTTTTATAGATGCAGTGCAACGGTCTTGTATTTTTTGATAGGTATAGCCTTAAGTATTTTTATGTTATTTCTTAAGTGTTACTTAAAAAATAATTACCAATTATCACTAGTAAACAGAATTACAGTTGAACTTATGTATCTTCTTTATTTGGTATAGCCTTGCTAAGTTCACTTATAGTGCTTATAGCATTTTTTTTAGATTCCCCAAATTTTATGATGTCACCTCTCCCCTAATGATTTGGATATTAAAGGCAACCCCAATAAAAAGTAAAGTAGTTTTTTTTCTTTTTTGAGAAATTGTCAAGCTCATTCTAAAATGCCTATGGATATAGGACCCAGAACAATCAAAACTTTGCAAAAGTAAAGTTTGAAGATTAATGGTAAGTGACTTTAAGATTTACTATAATGTTACTGCAATCAAGGCAATTAGGCTCTGGCATAAAGATAGACAAACAGCTCAATGGAACAGAACAGAGAATCTCGATGAAGACCACTCACAAATATGGACACTTGGTTTTCTAAAGCCTTTTCAACAAATGGTGCTGGAATAATTGGTTATCAACATCCAGAAATGAATTTCAGCCCCTTCTTTACATCATGTGTAAAAACTTATTCAGAATGTCTCATGACTCATAGATTGAATGTAATAATGCCTTTTTAAAATTTATAGAAGAATATCTGTGACATTGTGTTCAGTAAAGATTTCTAGTGTATAACTCCAAAATGTGATCCATACAAGACAAAATGGATAAACTACACTTCACCAAAATTTTAAAGCTCTCCCCTTTAAAACACAATTGTAGGAGAATGAGTTACATAGTGGGAGAAAATATTTGTGTGTCACATATCTGAAAAAAATATATATACACAACTCAGTAAGAAAGCAACCATTCCCAGTTTTAAAAAGAAAGAAAGCTTCCCTGGTGGCCTAGGGATTAAATCTCAGTGCTACCACCATTACTTATTACCACTACAGCCTGAATTTGATCCCTAGTACAGGGAGGTGACTCACATGGCACAGCAGACTTTTCCTTTCTCAACTGCTGCTCCCCTCAGCTATTTCAATAGATGCATGTCTGTTCTGTTCTCCATGAATCCTCTCAACCCCACACCTCTGGCCCTGCTTCAATTCTTCTACACAAAAATAAATAAAATCTTTATATATATATATGTACTGAAATACGCTGCTGAGGGAAGCAGTGGGCTACACAGGAGAGGTCTCCTGTACCATGTGGGTTAGCTCCTTGGCTGGCTGGCTGGCAGGGATCCAACTGCTGCTGCAGTGGCTGGTGATAGCTTGATAGGACTGTTTTTAACACCTTCACCATAAGGAGGAAAGAACTTGAACCATATTGTGCTAGAGAATTGTTGAGGCACAGGAATATGTGGCCTTTGCTGGGACTGCAGCATATCCATTGAAAGCCCTGACACTTAATCAGGCTTCCCCACTTACTGTCTGCATTACTGTTGCTGCATATCAAATTACCACAAAACATAGCCAGTTGCAACAGCACAAACGTATGTCTCATAGTGTCTGTGAGTAAAGAATTCAAGCACAACTTAACTGGATCCTCTGCCTCATGGTCTCTTGTAAGGCCCAAATCAAGATATCAGCCTGGCGCTGTCTCATCTGTAGTTTCAATTGGTGATCTGCTTCTAAGCTCACTCAGTGGTTGGTGGCAGAATTCAGTTCCTAGAATATGTTAGATTAAGAGTGTCATTTTCCTCTAATGGCTGTTTGCCATGGGCTATCCTGTGCCCTGCCACATGGGACTTTCTAACTTGACAGCTT